CCCCCCCCCCCCCCCACCTCTATTCAAGCTTGGCTTCTCCATTTTTATACAAATGGCCTCTTTCAAACCTCTTTTAAACCAGTCCTCCTCCCATTGTATAAGTCATTCTGAATTGAGAAAGCTGGTCGGATGACCAGTGAAACGTCTTCAAGAAAAATACAGCAAGTTCAGTTGCCTTGACTTATTTTTGACATATATACCCTGACCCGGATGAATGAACCTTCACAGATATACTATGACCTGGATGAATGAGAACCTTCACAGATATACCATGATCTGGATGAATGAACCTTCACAGATATACCATGACCTGGATGAATGAGAACCTTCACAGACAGGATGAATAAAGGTCCATGGCGGCACCCCTGAAGACACATCGGCTATGTGATAGGCCAGGGAGTGAGAGGGAGGGTGGAGCCAGCTGTCACTTTCTGGGCTTCTGTTTTGGAATAATAAAGAATGAGGAATAATATGGAATGTTCACCTTTCTTCATCTTGTTCAGGTCTTCCATTATGGAGGCGACTGGAAAGAGAAGAGACAAAGCTAAAGTGACTGATCCTGGTAGAGACACATCGTTGACTAGGCAGAGTCCCTCCCGACACCATTAGATTGGATGGCTGGGGCCGCTGTCAGAATATAATGTACACAGCGGGTGATTCTCGCTCATTTCCTCTCCCTGTGACTCCATAGAAAAGATGGGAGGTGGATGTTTTCCCCCACCGGGACAGGAAGTGACAAACAGCATTAGCTGTATTGTCAGAAGATCAAGGTGAAGGGACATTCTTTGGAGGACAATGTGATGTTCATATCAGACAGAGAGGACATCAAAGAGGTCATCTACATCAAACTGGAACCACCATTCTCCTAAAAAGGGCTCTTGACCCAACCCCCCTACCCCCCCCCCCATTACATACATATAATATTCCTGTCATTAAGGGGCCTCTTGCGGGGGAAGGGATGCAGCCAGGGCCACTGAGAAGTGGGGCATGGCACTGAGAAGTGGGGCAGCACAGCCAGCAGCTTCTCCTCTGGAACCCCGCTGCTCTCCTTCCCCACCTGTATGGGCAGAGGCAGCGGGGATCTGAGGAGAATTGAAACGCTGGAGGGGTGGGGGGCAGTGGAGGGAGCCGGTGTCACAGCAGCATGGCCGAGCGGTGAGGAGAGAGCTGCTCAGCTAGCGGGACCTCCACGGATCCAAAGAAAAAGCTGTAGGCTGTGCCGCCCCCTTGTTTAACCCCTTCATGACTGAGCTCGGTTTCAGTTTCTGTTCATAAATGACGGACACACTTGTTACATTGTTGCCGTGCGATTCTTCCACGTCAGTCATATACTTTCTTACTAAATGTCCCCGCACATGTTACATGTTGTATGTTAGAGGACAGGTAGGGCTATATAATTATATCCAACATGTGTACCTAACGCCTCACTTAGGATGAATAAAATATAATAAAATGAGGAAATAAACTAGAAGAAAACACTTTTTTCATTATTTTCTTTTTAGAATTTTTTATATTAATTATAGTATAACAAATATATTTATATATAATTTTTATTTTCCTAATTTTGTTTTACACTTTATTTTTAATTTTTTTACACTTTGTTGGTCAGTTTATAAATACATTTACTTTTTTTTAATTTTTGTCTATTATTAGGCTGCTCCAAACTTAGGAACCGCTAATAGTAACCTTAGAGACTGATCCTGACTTTAGCCAGATTCAGATCTCCCTAAAAGCTCTTTGATGGTGCCTAGAGGATCAGAACTGATACATTTCACTCATAAGAGATACATTGTATCTCTTGTATCTCTTTAGTGAAATGTATCTAAACATCGGGCTCTCGAGCTGTCAAAACAAATAGCAGAGAGGTGAGTCACTCCGCTACCTCTCTGCTCTCTGCAGCTGTCAAATACGGGATTGCTAATAGCGGTCCTGTATTTGCATGTAACGGCTTCATTCTTTCATTACTGAAAGGAAGAAGCTTTTACAAAAGCTTAATTATTTAATTAATGAATGCCTCAATACTGAGACATTAATGACTGGTAAGCGCTGAGAATCAGCTGTTACCGGCATTACAGAGCCTCAAATAACTGGTCACGTACAGTGTACGTGGCCAGTCATATAGGCACTTCCTGATGTGACGTACAGTGTACGTCTCCCGTCACGAAGGGGTTAATTAAAATGTAAAAAATAAATAAAAAAAGATAAAAAAATATTTAAAAAAAAACACATACTTGAGGCGAGGCGTATGACATCACATGAGGCCGACGTGCGCCGCGCTGGGTGACAGCACACGCCAGCAGTTGGGGGGGGCACATTTTGTTTTGTTCTTGCCTCGGGCACAGAAGGAGCTAACTACGGCTCTCTGCCAGTGACGAGGGTCGTCAGGAGAAATAGAGAGGGGTGAATCTCCCCACAGAGCCCCCGCCCCTGAAAATTAGGGGGTCTCATCTGTCCACTTTCTAGTTAGAAGTTTGAAAAATAAAAAGGTTTTGCCCGTACGTAGACCTTCAGAGAATGACGATAATTACCTGATTTGTTCAGATTAGACACAGCCTCAATCAACCCAGAATCTAAAACAAATACAATATAAATGTGAAACATTTAGAGCAAAAAACACCATTCAAAAATAACAGCCAGTCACTCCTCTAACTCATCCAGTTGTATATACTGCATATTGTGTATTTAGGCTTGAGCTATTGAGCTCTGTACACAGGGATCTTCTAGTTGTATGTGGACTGTACCTGTAAGCTTGAGCTATTGAGCTCTGTACACAGTGATCTTCTAGTTGTATATGGACTGTACATGTAAGCTTGAGCTATTGAGCTCTGTATACAGTGATCTTATAGTTGTATATGGACTGAACCTGTAAGCTTGAGCTATTGAGCTCTGTACACAGTGATCTTCTAGTTGTATATAAACTGTACATGTAAGCTTGAGCTATTGAGCTCTGTACACAAAGATCTTCTAGTTGTATATGGACTGTATATTTAAGCTTGAGCTATTGAGCTCTGTACACAGTGATCTTCTAGTTGTATGTGGACTGTACCTGTAAGCTTGAGCTATTGAGCTCTGTACACAGTGATCTTCTAGTTGTATATGGACTGTACATGTAAGCTTGAGCTATTGAGCTCTGTACACAGTGATCTTCTAGTTGTATATGGACTGTACATGTAAGCTTGAGCTATTGAGCTCTGTACACAATGATCTTCTAGTTGTATATGGACTGTACATGTAAGCTTGAGCTATTGAGCTCTGTATACAGTGATCTTATAGTTGTATATGTAATGTAAATTTAGGCTTGAGCTATTGAGCTCTGTATACAGTGATCTTCTAGTTGTATATGTAATGTAAATTTAGGCTTGAGCTATTGAGCTCTGTATACAGTGATCTTCTAGTTGTATATGTAATGTAAATTTAGGC